GCGGTAGTTCGAACAAGCGAGGGGCAAATAGTAGAATTAGAATAAGAAGATGGGAGAATTGTGCGTCGGCATCTGGATCAAGTTCGCAGCCGAACGGACACAGTAAGTGGAGAGTTCGGAAAGTTCGAACTGCAAGTAACCCTTGATAGGGATCCTGACATCCCGAGGACTGAACACCTACTGCCTGCACAGAGCACTACGTCACCGACCAAGGCGTATGTTCTTCCTCCTCCTTCTACCCCGGCCAGCAGTAGCTTAGGGGCAGAGGAGCCAGTGACTGCGCAAAGCGGCGCAGAGGTAGAAAATACCGCCCGAGAAGATCGATCCGAATCTACAAACCTATCCAACACTTTCAAGTCGAATCTTAGTAGAACATTGTCTAACTATCCACTATTACTTTACTGTTTCCCCCCTCCCCTCCTCCTCATGCTCTCCACTTTAGGGTGGAGGGATGTAGCGTTTCCTGTCCGGGCCGTCAGGACATCATGCCACAAACGCGTGACAAGCAAACGATCAAGGTCATAACCCCTGTTCACACCTTCTTTGTGCTGACTGACCACCCATCAGCCTATGACAGTCCCCCTTGCCATATACCCGGCCGTTTCCCCAAGCCTCCTCACTTATGCTGTCTCTCGTACTCAGAACACGTCCTATTTCCAATTACCCTTCTGTTTTGCATACATAACATGTAGGAGGTTAAGTGAATGGACATTTCGTGGTCCTAAAAGCCTCACAATGTGAATTTTTTTTGAAACCACGGGGATACTTATTCTTAAAGAATATGTATTTGACTATCAAACGATTAAATCACCGACTATTTTACGCATGTTTTCTACAAAATATTTCTTAAATTTATAACGGCATCTGAAATTAATTAGAATATTTCATTTTTCCTATGCAGTCCTTTTTAGAGTGTAGTTTTTACAGACGCTCGGACAGAAGCTTGTTTAAGGGCCGGCATCCAAATGCGATTTGATTATCTTGGGAACATGCTTCACGGCAATCAATATTGCGACCCTTATTTAATAATGTTTTCGAATCAAAACACACTTCCGAATTTCAGTTATCATTCCCTTAGATAGACAGTTATTACTGATGCTTCAACCCTTGGCACTCCTAATGGCAATGCCGCATGTAAAATGGTTTCTACCAAGACCGCTGCTGCTACCATTACCAGCATTACTAAGAACATTACTACTGGGATTATGACGACCGCTTTAATTACTAGCAATCGTACAGCTACGCGAATAATACGCTTGCGTGTGTGATATCTAGTAATACTATTTTCTTTAGAGTTGCTGATACTAATGCTACCATGGCTTATGGTACGGCTGCTGAAGCGACTGCTGTCAACATTTCCAATACTATTTTTGCCAGGCGTACTTCAATAAAACCTACTGTAAGCGCTGCCATTCCTGCAAAAGTTATTCTAATGCCTTCACCGCAAAAACGTCTATTACTGCGTGGAGTATAGCAAAACAGGCCTCCCGATATGGAAAGCATTTGAATTAAAATGGCGGCTGGTTATGTTGCTTATTCGAAAGCAATCTTACGCCAATAAGTCTTAGGTATGCTGAAAGCTCTGGTACCCTGAACATAATCGAAAGGATTACAATCAGAGTAACGTACCGTACTGCGGATGCTGTTACTTTTGATGTTGATATTACAGCAAGTACAGTAAGGACTGTAAAAAGTACTAAGTTTACAACTAATGTTGCCACTACTGCTAAAGCGAATGCATAAACTTATGTATGCAAGTCTTCGACCACCCGTAATACTATAAAAGGCCTGCGTTTGTTATGTGCACTCTTGCTACTGTTAGTATTGCCGTTCCTACTGGCACTACTGCTACTCCCATTATCACTAATACAAATACTGCAACAACTGGAAAATAATTACCGACATTAATGCAAGAAAATATTAATTCGAGAAATGATTCTAAAACCATAGCGCATTTTGTTTCAGGCAATGCAACTACTGATCGTATAGGTACTGCCACGCCCACTCCAAAATGAATAGAATGACAATCAAATCTTGAATTGTAAACCCTGCGTGGACTGTCAACTTTTTTAGCAATCCAAATTATGCAAACCTTCGGCAACGTAACTGGTATATAACACCCACATTTCCATCTAGTTCGGCCTGGTCGCGCAGTCAAATGCCATGCCCCTGCGAGCCTTTGCATTGAAAAACCTAATGTAGCCGTCATCCGCTGCGTGCGGTCATTAATGCATCGGATACCATTATCGGTTTTTCTTCCAATAGTCACAAATCTCTCGCATCAATGTGTACGGCGACAATAACGGACCTAGGCACGTGTTGCTAAATCCAATCACACAATCAAGGGTCTCGGTGCCCGACCTTGCATTGCCTTCAAGTGTCCATATTGTCGTTGCAATCATTTCCCCAGACCAGCTCCGCTACTTGCGCTCGCCACGTTAACTAACCTCCCCCATTCCTTTTTGCGACCTCCTGATAATCAAGGTACTTGATTTTGTTGACTCTCCTCAGGTTAACTTTATCGGCTGACCACGTGGGCTTTTGTTGCTGTCATTTAAACCGGCCGATCTAGACTATAGCATTTGACCGACTGTTGCACCTGCTAACCCTCCGTCAGTCTGAAATTTAAACCCGAACTCGGTATTTGGCCATTGTCCGGGTTACCACTTAAATTGCATGTGTCTGCGGGTGTGCACAAATTGCAAAGGCCGTCAGCCCTAGGGCGTCGTATGACAGTATTTCGGTCACATTTTATGCAGTACGATTTCTATTTATTTCCACCTAGACCCATAGTGGGCTTTTGACAACGCCTTAGTTAATTCCCCAGGCAAGGAGATAGGCTCTCAGGCAGCCCTTCCGACAGGGGACCAACTGTTCCGATAATTAATACCACTACACTATGTTAGGATGGCCTACGAGCTTATTCTCGCTGTCTGCAAATATCTAGCTGAGTAACTGTTGGGTTTAGTCAAAAAACGCAATTGGCGGTACGCACCATGTAGAGAAGACTGAGCAGTAGAAAATGCCTGAAGTTAAAGTACGCTTTCAGTGGGCACAGATACGCACCATTATCGAAGACTAGGCGTGTGGTCTTTATTAAATATGATTTTATCAGCCAATTACCACAGTGCTTTCGTCATCTATGCCCTAGCCTCAAAGTAAGGCCAAAAATGTTGACAAATGCACGGCACCCGCTCATTGTGCCCGATGAAACATCTGTCCTGTCTTGAAGGTGTTGGTGTAATCGTCTATGCAGCATACCCCGTCGTAGGTGTCGGTTCGAAAAACCTGTTTGTCTTTCGTCAATCCTGACCGTAAATTATGCTGAAGCCTTGTATGTTTGGGAATTTCTGGTGTAGTAAAAAAGTCGAAGGAATCCGTTTGGTTGCCGAAGTTCGCTGTCTACTACGACCTCTACTGCCAGAACTTCTATTAGAAATATTACTACCAACATTATCACGCCCCTCACTGCATCTACTAGTACTATTATTACTAACTCCGAAACTTTTGCATAAAGACTAATCGTAGCACCCTAAGCACTGCTAGAACTTCAGGTACTACCACCGGTCTCACACTACAGGCATTAATACTGTCAACGGTACCGTTACTATTACTATCGGCAATACAACTGCCAGTACAACTGCAACTGTACTGCTAATGTTCCCGCTACCGCAAACAATGCTTCTGTCAATAAAACTCCAAAAATTGCTGTTATCACGATAAGTACTTCTACGTCCACAATTACTATCGTAAGTGGTACGGCGGCTACGGGAAATGGTGCGACAACTAATACAAAGAATATTACTATTCTAACAACTACCACTACTGGTACTACTACTACTACTACTACTACTACTACTACTACTACTACTACTACTACTACTACTACTACTACTACTACTACTACTACTACTAATACTACTGCCGCTGCTGCTGCTTCTACTAATACTACTACTACTACTACTACTAGTACTACTACTACTACTGGAACTGCTGCTGTCACAGGCTTCGCTACCACGGCTACTGCAAATAATCCGCAAATTGTTGTATTGCTATCCCAGCCTATGGAACCACTACCGCTTCTGTTGCTACTGCTTGCAATACTGTGTCTTGAACTATTACTAATACCGCAAGAACGACTACTAAAACAGATGCTGCTATTAGGGCTATCAATACTACTGTCGCAACTATTACTACTACCATTGCTACTACTGCAACTCCTGCCACCATCGGTACTTTTTACGACGGTTAGGAGAGCCAGAAAGGGTACAAATACTTCTCCTGCCAATGCCACGACTTTAAAAGCTGTCGAGTCTGCTACTGACAATAGACTACTAGCACAACAAATTCTGGGTCTACTACTACTACTATCAGCAGTGCTACGAGCACTTCTGCTGATACTAGTGCCACCACTACGAGTTTCCCCACTAGTGTTAGCATTAACGTTACTACCGCTGCTGTTTTTGCAACTTCTTTTACTAGTTCGATCATTAAAACTAGTACTACCAATATCGTCCTTTCTACCAATATTGTCAGTATTACTACTATTAATACTGCAGTTGATACTGACACAACTACCACAATGTCTGTCAATACTGCTACAACCACGACAACTTCCGCTGCTACTGCAACTACTGTGGTCAATGCAATCTCTATTACTACCACAATTATAACAGTTGTCAATACTGTAACCAACAATAATACAACGGGTACGAGCACAGTTTCTATTTATAGAGCTTCTATGAATGCTACTCCTATTACTAGGCTAACTATCACCGCAAATTACAAACCTCGCACAGCGGCATTTCCTAGTAATTGTAATGTTATTATTGTGCCATAAAAACTGTTGGTGAAACTGCTACTGGTGTTTATTTCCAACAAGAACAAAAACAACAACAACAACAACAACTACTACTACTACTACTACTACTGGTGTAGCTGATAATGCTGCTACTGTCACTACTGTTCTATTTATCGCTACAGAACCCCCTGGCAATATTATGACTACTGTAGTGGACAGTCATTATGGCTACGTCGCGCCTCTCGCTAGCGCCTGCACCTACGTCTTAGCCACAGCCTGCTACGGCACGCACGTCTGCCCGGCTTCGATTTGTCTTGTTGCAATTCACTGTCTGCACCCCGCACCTGGTCGATTCTCTACCTGCACCATGCGAGGCTTGTCACTAGCTTGCGTGGGCTCGGAGCCAATCAACGCACCTCCTCTCGCTGATTGGTACATTGGCGGGCACAGCCAGACCACTAGCGTAAACAATCTGTCACGACACTTTTGCAGCGGCGACCTTCGGCGACACACGGCTCGTCGCTCTCGCGGACGCCACCTCCGCGGCGCCGGAGGCATCCTCGTCCGGTTGCCAACTCCCCTTCACTATTTTGCCCAGAACAAATAAGTCATTTTCCTCTTCAACTGGCGTCCTGCTTCTAACAATTTGGGATATGGCAGGAAGTTGTGGCGTACTGAGCGTACACCATCACCGCTTAGCCGCTACACTACACAGTCAACAGAAGTCTCCAATGTAATTATTAGAACCAGTAGTATTAGCACAATTACGTTTCCTCTCACTAACGCGAACAATGCGAAAACATTTTCACTACTGAAAATGTAAGAAAAGCTGCACCCTCACACCTCAAAGAGGCGTGCTAAAAGCGGTAAGTAGAAGCCAGTAAACCGCCTACTTTCAAAACATTCTGTTAACTGTAGAACGCGATGTGCAAATTCATTCGTGACAAAACGTGTAAAACACAACGATTTAAAAGCGATCACTGAAATAGAATAGCGGACGCGGTATTGGACTAAGGAAGTCTTTTTGCAGTTTCGTGAAAGGAAAATATTACACAGCATGGTTTTGTAAGTCCTTACAAATTCATGTATACCGGTTTCTGCCAAGTTCGTTAGGCGTACAAATCTCAACTATGACATTTTTGTTTCGGATCTAAACCACGATCTTCTGACGCATAGCTCAGATGCTCTGTACGCCGGACTACGAAAATTTTAGTCAGTCAGGGACTCTTTCCTAGAATGTGCGGTGGTCTTTCGTGCCCGGTTGTCAGGCAAAATACTAGCGAAAAAGTGAGCAAGCTATGCTGGCCACTGAGTGCCGGCAGGATCGGCATACGACAGACAAAAAACATGGGTTATTAGGAAACATGGAGGCAAAAACACAGGGTAGTAGCAGTCTCTAATTCTTAGTACATTAGCACAGGAAGAAAAAATGTATCTTTCATTACGGTAGTTTTCATATGTATCGAGGTTTTTCGCTGGTCTAAATCATCCTGACATGTTTCATAAACTGTTTTAAATGTCCGACGAAAGGTCTTCTCCCGCAGAGTCGTTGGAGCCTGGTAAAAACACCAATGCGGTTGTGCTTCTGAGACTGTTGAGACAGTTAAAAGCAGACTCTATACCCATTTTCTGGGAAGCTACTGTGCATGAAAGAGACCGTACCAGTAGCGGCAGTCTCTGTCTTGTGCACACATTGATGACTTTTCACTTCCCAGAATTTTTACTTCCTATAGGGGGTTCAAGGGTAGAAGCTCCATTCCCTAAATAAAGTGATTTGATCATCCTCTGAAGCATTAGTATTATAGCTTACATGCTCATTCCCCTAAATGTGCAATTTAAATTCCCAACAGTATTTGTGTGGTGGGGTTATTCCTTCCGAAAAGTTTCTGGACTTCCCCATTTTTGTGATGTATACAGTGTGCTGAACTCTGCTTGCCGTCGCACTCCTGGACATTCCTTCCATTAGATTTCCGACAATTATCCAGATGCTTTACTTATTTCCGCTTTCTCTTGTAGATAGTTTTGGCAACGGGCATGACCATTTGGCACCATGAAGGATTAAAGTTGAACTTGCGGATATAATATCTTGAGCCTTCTTTGCCTCTAAGTCCACCGGCGCTAAAGCCTCTATGAGACGCCGCCGCCTAGTCTAATTTATTACTACTGTTATCGTGGCGTCACATGGATTTGGCAGTTCCACAGGCTCTGAAAGAGTTGCAGGTTTAGTGTTTTTCCGTAGCGTTTTTTGGAACATAAGAGCCCTTAGTAACGTATTTATATTAAATTATTAAAATTCATAGGTATAACGTTTTTTTTTAAAAGCAACTCGAAATGCCTATAAACCTACAGATTAAACTCTCGAAGTTTGGTCAATCTTGATGTTTTCTCAACATTAATCGTTCTTCCTGACTTGATTGGTTTTGGTCTGCTGGGTAGTTGTTTGCTAATATATTTGAAAGTTTTCTGAATTTTGGGTGGAATGAAGCCTAGAGCTATTATAATAGCTCTAGATGTACTAGAACTATTATAATAGTTATAGTACATCTTTTGACCAGACCTGCAAAGTTCACTTCACGGCTGGCAATGACTATTCACTGAAGCTCAAATAGCTAAAACTCCGAACACATAAATATTGGGTAATATACCACATGGTATATTACCAAATGCATATGCACTGACTGATAATTTCTACACAACGTTTTGGAAAATGCCTATACGCATCCTGATTGCCGCTAAAGTGAGATGTCTTTTCAAAGCATGCCAATTTTTATTTAAGACTCGTCTTAATATAAACAAGTAAGAGACGATAGTCGAGTTCGACTTATTCTGGACCTGAACAACGTACGAGGCTGTCCAACACTATACGCGTGAAGGGAAGAGGTTGTCGTTGCATGCATAAATCAGTGCTTGTCAACTTCTTGAGCCGACAAGGTTCGTTGCTAGTGTCTAGCCGGGAACTCTGAGGTGATTGTCGGGTTGACCGCGAGAAGTGGCCACCCAGGGAGATGGAGGTTATGCGCGGTGCCTTGGCAAGGTCATTTTTTTCAAAATACTGAATATGTCAGTTAATTATGTGGACGCTCGAGGGCCGGACCTCTCGCACCTGTCTTAATGCATGATTACGGTTCCGACTCAGAATCCTAACAGCCGGGTTGAATGGTGTGCATCATCCTTCGTAAATTCGCGCCCAAATTCTGCAACTATTTATGCTAATTATGATAGTTTATTACAGCCCGTGTTTGTCGATTGCTTTTTCTGCAACTACAGTCCAATTTGTGGACGAGGTTTGACGTTCCTTGTTTGGTAATTAAGCTCTAATGTCTTCTAACTTATTGATGGCGTCGTCTCGAGCTTATGGACCAATCCAACCCCAAGTGATCTTGGAAGTTTAACAACGGTCGCCCATACCCCACTGGCCTATGGGAGTCTAGGAGTTGGTTGTTTGGATTTTCTGTTATGGCCCAATGCGGTCGTAAACTAGGGGATGCGGATATCCGTTACTTCTAAGCAGGTCCACGAGATGGTTTACTTTGAGTATGGTATTAGCTGGCGCATTCAATGGGTGCCTTCTCGACTGCGACACGTGCGTACGCTGACTCGCTTTTACTGAAGCAGGTAGTTGCTCTTAAAACTTCAAGTTTGCATTACACTCGTGGTGATCTTACCATACTTTAATTTAAGCACGGCGCGCCAATTCCACCGTCACCCTTTTATTCTCCATCTTCAAAACACAAAGAAGTATAAGAAGGAAATTTACTTGAATAATAAACCGTATGGACCCTTTTTGCTGAAAAAACAGACGTTTCTTTTTGGCTAATTTTAAGGACTGCCTGGCGACACTATTTCGAATGGTAGTATTTAACATAAGATGGTTTAAAATACGTTTGCAGATGTCCGTTAGATATTATTCGGTTAGTGATATAAGAACAAATTTGCAGTACATTGTGAGTCGACGGACTCTTGTGCTACTGTAAATGAGTAATGTGTTTTAGTTGTGCAACATAATATACCCGTCAGACATTAATTCTTTATATGTGCTGGCACGTTGTCTCAGAAAGTAGTCGTAGACATTTTTTATAATGGGCTGACCTCTTTCCCCTTTTGGAAAAACTGTTGAAAGCTGATTCATGTGAAGCGTTTGTTATATTTTTGTGAATTGTCATTCACGTTTCTTTCATTGATGACAGATGTCGTCCTTTGTACCCCAACCCTGCCCCGAGAAATTTATCTTAAGATCACTAAGTAATTTCTAACAAGACCAATGAATGTTTTGGCCAATCTGAACAGATAATCTGACTGTTACATTGGGATAACATCAGTGACCCTATCACAGTTCGAACCCGCATCAGAGACGACAACGATGTAGTGTAGCCAGAACTTCATCAAATAAATTACTAATGTAAAGAAGACAAACAGGCAATCACAGGGACAATGCACGTATTAGTCTGAACTTTTGGTCTTATACAGGAATCCACTATCAGATCCCATGCCGTGCCTGTCCTCATCATTATACAGTCCAGACCAGTCGGCGACTTAGTTTGCGAATAATGGAGCATAAACAGGCAGTCCGGAAGGACGGCCCACTGTCTCAGGTCGCTATTCGTACCCTGGAGAATGGCCAAGAAGTAGACTACGCCAGTGCGCGGATACTGGCGCGAGCTAACAGCAGGACGAGGCGGGAACTGCTGGATCCCCGGGTGTCTGACACCAACTCCACCAACAGACACGTTGATATACCCCCTCCTACTACCACGCACTTCGCTCACACGACCAAGAGGCGCGACCCCATTCCCAGTCAAGGACGCACGCCGTGGCGACTCCGTGGTATGGCTTAGGCCCAGCCCTGTCGAGAACACAACCTCTGCCTCCCCCTCTTCTTTGGCAGACCACAAAGATTACTCATGTTATGTTGCACTTTCACAGTCTCTGATGATAACCTCCTGTACGCGACCGAAAGTTCGTACTAACACCTGTATTGTCCCAGTCATCACGTGTTTATCTTCTTTGCAATAAGAACCTAAGACTCGGATATTCGCTTCCATTCGTGTAAACTTTAAATCTCATGTATACTAAGTTGCTGCTTTATGATGTAGGTGAGGTGTTGTCGAACAAGATGGCGCATGCACACCAACAATGCCATAATTTGCCCTCGCCATTGGGACAGACCCAATACTGGAGATTTTTTAAACGTAGTTAAGCCATACAGAGATTTACTATGCCATTTGGACACCCAGGTATTGGATTTTCTAGACACAAATCGTAGGTAAACTGCATTCTATGGCATTTTCTATCTGAATTGGACAGGTTTTAATATCTCGTCAGAAGTTAGCCATCCTTCCTATCCCGAAAAGTTGCGTGCAAAAAGGTTGCAGTAGCTTAATGCTGAGAAAGTTTTAATGGGCAAATGCTCTGTGGCTCACTGGACTCGAGTTTAAACCTCAGACGCTCCGTCAAAGGGGGTTCGGGTTCTCCTGCCTGATGGAAAAAATAACCCATAAATGACCGGTCCAGTGTCTCAAACCTGTGTGGACTTACTAGATAAGCTGCCTACTGCAGGCTTCAGGACAAGAACTGAGAGACTTTGCAACGCCTGACCAGAAATAGATGATCTGGTACTAATTAAATCTATCGCTTCGCTTTTTTGCCCATTACGGGAACAGACTGCTGACTCAACTGTTAACATAGGTATTTACTGCGGCGTAGGCTATGAACTCTCAAAATTGGTATCCTTTCAGATTCCACGTCAGCCCAAAATTGATTACCTTTAATACCAACATCATCGATTATTTTTGTTTGCTGTTCTTCGTTTTTGAAGTCCTCAGGCGCATCAGTCCAATACACTGCGGCCTGGTTCCAGATATTCAGCCTATCAAGTATGAACCCACATTCGCTAAAATGTACATTTCAAGAGGCAAAGCCTCTTTTTCGAAAACTACTATCTTCAAAGAGTTCTCCTCTTAAACATTCTAAGTACGCAAACTTAAAATTGTTTAAGTGATATTTCACTAATCTGCATTAATGTCATTTAACCATCACAGTTTTGATCCTCACAAAGCGTGGCAGGTAGGGTAGCTACGCTGGTGTCACTTACATATATGGTATTTGATTTCTGATAATTCAGTCCTCATGAATCATGACTGGGGTGCCAATCTGTCGAATGCGGGTGCAAAACTTAGTGGCCTTGTTATTGATATCGTTCGAGTGGCATTCACCGGTTTATCCAACAGGGTGTGCTCCTTTGACTCAATGAGTGGTGCTTGGCCCAAATGATCGATTACCAACTGATTCAGGCTTCAGTCACGGGTCTGTTCCGCTGCATTTTGGGGTTTGAACGGTTTACAACAACAAATAAGCCAAAAATCGCTATTCTAGTTCCTACCCTATTTCTCTAAAACCGTCTGGAATTTCAAAAGAGGATGTGATAGCCGAAACAAGAGGTTTATTAGCCCGACGTTTCGGATTTTCACTCTGAACTACCGCCAGAGACACTTGACCTTGGCAGTGCTGAAAAAGACGAGAGACCGGAATGGCCATTTCTGACTTATTAGGCGTCATCAGCCGGTCATATCTAACCCCAGGTTTTGCGACCCCTGAGGCTCGAATCCGCGAGCTTTAAGTTCAAAGTACAACGCACAAGGCTTGCAAAAGCCAGTGTTAGGTGCGGCGGGCTAACGACGACGAGTAGACCAGAAACAACCGTTCTAGTTCCCCTGTAATGTCATCCCACCTATAATACTGGCCGTTGGGCGGCTATTGCCGGAAATCAAGACTGAATCATAAGGCGCAACGAAAAGATTGTGACCCGTAACGCGACCTATTAGCGCCCCTCTGCCACAGCCGACTTTATTATAATTTACAGGTGGTACTCCATTTTTACTCTAACAGATCAATAGGAATGATCAAGTCTTACAATCTCCCTTGTCGTTCACCAATAAAAATATCCTCTGACGAAACTTATTTAACTTCCACCCACGTTTTTCTATTTAAGCTAGCTGCTGAGAAATATGATGCTATTTCCGATGCCGTTGAAAACGAACTTTCGTTGGCGGCGAAGGACTTTCAACGAACTGTGTCCTTTACTTCGACAAATCTCCGTATTATCACCAACCTTTCAGGTACAAATGTTTTGCGCTATAAATCCAGCACTTGTGTTAGCCAGAATGTTCTGCAATAAGTATGACACCACTGCACTCTTCGTTACGCCTTTTTCAAATGCTTGGTGGTTTTCCAAACTACTAGAAATACTAAGCTGTGAATTTGTCTTTTAAGAAACCAGAAAATGTGATGCTTCCGTAAGTTTTAATAAACCAGTAACCAAAAGCAGGTGTTTAAAGTTCTGATTCTTGTTTATGACGTTCTTCGCTGTTAACTTGCTTCGAATGCCATATTCCATCTCTGTTGCAAATAACCGCACCTAAAGTTCGAGTACGGTAGTTCAATGGCATAATTACCCGAAAACTAAGGATGAATAACTGTCCAGTAGGACAACCTTACTGAATAACTGTGTTTCAAATAGCTTGGTCAGCTAGTCACTGTCAAAGTCTTAAACGCATTAAAATCGGACATAAATCTAGGTGACTGCCTGAGCTAACCGGCTCTAGACTGATAAGTTTTTCTGTCTTTGCTGGTTTGATTTTTCGGTGGCCGCGTGGCGGGTTCGAGAACTGAGTAACTCACCAGTCATAACCTCAACAGAGGGTAGTTTGGTCTGATGGGTTCTTTGATTTTTCGTCGGGTAAAATCCTTATCAGGCCGACTGTGGCTGATTTTTTTAAGTCCATCTCGGTCATCTTGTTTTGGTCTCTAAATAATGACATGGGACTTCGTAATCCGCTGAGAGCAATTTGCCCTTCAAGAGGCATCAACTCATCCGCACATGTATCTTCTTCACCTCTGCCATCTTATGTAAACTGCAAAGCTAGTTGTCGTGTGCTGATTCCAACCGTCATGGCTTAAGTTTCCTGTCAATCTTTCTTATGAACACAATCTCACAGTGGCTTTAGTGAGCGACGTAAAATGTCCACCACTTCGACCGGCAACTAAACTATTAGGTTCGCCTCAGGGCAACCATTTCCAAGAATTAAACCAAAGTCATTTGAGGCTCGTGAAATCCTGTTGATGAGCATCCATAAGCCAAATGGAGTTATTTCGTTTGCATTATCGTTGT